AGTGAAAATGTCCAAATTGGGCCCAATTAGCTATGTTCCCTCCCCGGTGTCATGTGATTTGTTAGTGTTACAAGGTCTCAGGTGTGAATGAGGAGCAGGTGTGTTAAATTTGGTGTTATCGCTCTCACTCTCTCATACTGATCACTGGAAGTTCAACTTGGCACCTCATGGCAAAGAACTCTCTGAGGATCTGAAAAAAAGAATTGTTGCTCTACATAAAGATGGCCTAGGCTATAAGAAGATTGCCAAGACTCTGAAACTGAGCTGCAGCACAGTGGCCAAGACCATACAGCGGTTTAACAGGACAGGTTCCACTCAGAACAGGCCTCGCCATGGTCGACCAAAGAAGTTGAGTGCACATATTCAGAGGTTGTCTTTGGGAAATAGACGTATGAGTGCTGCCAGCATTGCTGCAGAGGTTGAAGGGGTGGGGGGTCAGCCTGTCAGTGCTCAGACCATACGCCGCACACTGCATCAAATTGGTCTGCATGGCTGTCGTCCCAGAAGGAAGCCCCTTCTAAAGATGATGCACAAGAAAGCCCGCAAACAGTTTGCTGGAGACAAGCAGACCAAGGACATGAATTACTGGAACCATCTCAACTTATTTGGTTGAGATGGTGTCAAGCTTGTGTGGCGGAAATCAGGTGAGGAGTACAAAGACAAGTGTGTCTTGCCTACAGTCGAGCATGGTGGTGGGAGTGTCATGGTCTGGGGCTGCCGGCACTGGGGAGCTACAGTTCATTGAGGGAGGCATGATTGCCAACATGTATTGTGACATACTGAAGTAGAGACTGGGCTGCAGGGCAGTATTCCAACATGACAACTCCCCAAACACATCTCCAAGACAACCACTGCCTTGCTAAAAAGCTGAGGGTAAAGGTGATGGACTGGCCAAGCATGTCTCCAGACCTAAACCCTATTGAGCATCTGTGGGGCATCCTCAAACGGAAGGTGGGGGAGAGCAAGGTCTCTAACATCCACCAACTCCGTGATGTCGTCATGGAGGAGTGGGAGGACCTGTGAAGCTCTGGTGAACTCCATGCCCAAGCGGGTTAAGGCAGTGCTGGCAAATAATGGTGGCCACACAAAATATTGACACTTTGGGCCCAATTTGGACATTTTCACTTAGGGGTGTACTCACTTTTGTTGCCAGCGGTTTAGACATTAATGGCCGTGTGAGTTATTTTGAGGGGAAAGCAAATGTGCACTGACCTTACATCAGCCGAATCCATAAAAAAATGTAAAGCATCGGTATCGGCATTTAGTATCGCAGCATTTTCACAAGTGTGAGTATTCTTGAAAATGCCCAGTATTGGCACCTGCCCCTCACATGTCTCTCAGTGAGCTACACGTCTCTATTCCTTTGGGATATATTCCATCACCCAAATATCCCAAAGGAAACCCAAGTCCCAGCATGCCCTTATTGTACCTGGATACCCCCTAAATATCACTAAGGGCTGGGGGATGTACAGGGGGGATGTACAGGGACTATCACAAGTCCCAGCATGACCTCATTATCCCTGTACATCCCCCAGTGGGTGTACAGGGACAAAGTGGGCATGCTGGGACTTTTAGTTCCCTTGATGATATTTGGGGGTGTGCAGGTACAATGAGGGTGTGCTGGGAGGTATTGGGTGCTGGATAATAGAATAGAGGTTGAACTCCAAGGTAACCTCATCTGACACTGTACTCCTGGAAGCTCAGGGCTTCTCACACAGCAGACAGCATGACCAGAGGAAGCTCAGGGGAGGCTGCAAAAAAAGCAGCTGCAAAAAAACACTGTGGAACACCACAGCACAGACTTGTCTCTCTCTTATCAAGAGGCTGCTGGCTGGGTCATCTCGGCCGAGGCCCCAGCGCTGCCGCATTATTTGCCTGATGCGCTGCCTGTGTTCGCCGCTCGGCCATCCCGGCTCACTCCTCACTGCCCGGTCACCGACGCTCTAGAAAATGGCTTCTCCTGTGGGCGGTGTCATCCAATTGGCCGCCCGTCTCACAGCAGCAGTGCGTGCGGACGGTGCCGGTGGAGTCTGGGGGAAGCCTGCACCCTAGGCCTGGTTGCCTAGTTACAATTCAGCGTCCTGCAGTCTCCGGTGAGCAGCGCACACACAGCATCAGTGCGTTCCGCACCGTTAGGACAGTGCATACCGTTTGCCAGCAGTGCGGAGGAGTGTGGCTGTAGCCGGGCCGACTGCCTAGTGGTAATGCTGGCTCTGCTCACGCTCTGCATATGGTGAATTGGTGCTGTATCACTGATTGGAAATTGTGGGTTGAGCTGGAACAAGACTAGGGCTGTAACTAATGATTATCTTCATAATCAATTAGTTGGCCGATTTATTTTTTTCGATTAATCAGATAAAAAATTCAATACCATCCTTAATTTAAAATAAAATACACAAATGAAGTGTTACAAACAAAGTTTACTTCATAATAAAACTGCATGCACAATTTTTTGCAATCGCACTTCACTGGAATGCACAGCATTGCGGTACCATGTGTTCTAGTGCAGGCAATCACACTGTGGGTGGGAGGCGCATTTGGGGTGTCATTGACACTGCAACGCACCTCCCGCAGCAGAATTTGTCACACCGAAACCGAAAATGACCTTCTTCCCACCTTTTTTTTTGATTTTTTTTTTTTCATAATTGTATTGTATGCACATGGTGCTTGAAAAGCATCAGCCAGGGAATGACAGCTGCCAGTGGGAAGATTCTGCAGACGGCAACTGAATGTAAATACAGCAGATAGTGGGATGGAGCAATGGGGCTGGGCTCAGAGAGAGCGAGCTAGCAAGCAATATGGCTGAGCACTGGCTTTAATGCACATATAACCTCCATCAACACCACAGTTGAACTCCATTCCATTCCAGGAGATTGGATTCCTCTTTCTCACCTCACTTGCCATACCTCCTGTGGGGATGAATACCATATCCTCCAGCACTCAAAACACAGATGGTTTCTTTGATGACCCAAGTAATCTTAGTTAGATTCAATATATGAAGGTAGATGTTCGGTAGAGTTAGTATATGAAAAATGTTGTACATTCCAACATGGCTATTTCTGCTTTTCCTGAAGAATAAATAATGTAAATTTAAAAAAAAAATCAGTTATATAATGAAAAAGTAATTTTTTTTTTATTTCTTCACACATGACGATGTGCTTTGAAGTCAACACAGGTTCAGCTAATGTTAATAAATTTGCCCCCCAAATTTGTCTGGATAGAACAGGAAACACAGTCCACTAGTAAAGGTACATAGTATTATGATGTCAAATTTTTTTTTTATGAGTTTAAAAACTTGTTGTATGGAAAGTACTTTCATTCAGAGGCTTTCAGTTTTTGGTATAGTTATTCTTCAAAGTGGCTCTTTTACCAATGAATATGTTTTTTTAAATAAACAGCTCCTTGCATAGGAAGATGCTTAATACTTACTTAACCTCTTGCCGTCCGCCCGTAGTAGAAAAACGGACGGACGGCACTGCTGCATTGGCGGGTTGCCGTCGCCAGACGGCATTTTTTTCTGCTCGCGGGCACGCGTGGGCAGAAAAGACCCGTCCAAGGAGGGCGTCAGGAGGACGGGAGATCAGCTAAGGAGCTGATCTCCCGTCCTCCTCCTCCTGACGCCCTCCGAGCCGATCCCGGGCCGCAGATGCGGACGCAAACGGGCACATATAGGCGATCGGCGGGCTATGGACCCGCTGATCGCCTATATGTGAAACACCCGGTACCGGCAAGGGCTGATCTCCGTCCGGGCTGTGAATGCAGAAGTGATGTGTATTACATCACTTCAGCATTCACCTGTCAGTCATCTGGCTGCTATAGCCAGAGAGAAGAAGCTGATGAAGCAGATCTCTGCTTCATCAGCTTCTTTTGGGGTCCACAGGTGACTTTAGGGGTCTTTAGGGGTCCTAGAGAGGACCTGTCAGTGTGCCTTTGCTATTATATAGGGGGATTGTTATCCCCCTATATAATAGCAATAACAATAAGTGCAAAAAAATTAATATAAATAAAAGTCACATATAAAAAAGTAAAATAAAATAAAAGTCAGATATAAAAAAAGAGGGGAAAACCCCCCAAAATGTTTAACTCTCCCACCCCCACGTTTACGCGCCTATAAACGTAAATACGCGTCCGGTGCCCCAGCGCGCAAAAATTACAATTGCGCTACACATGTTACATATCGCCGCGAACGTCGCAGTGAGAGCAATCATTTTAGGGCCATCACTAAACTGATGAGCGGTAACAGCTTTTAAAAAGCGTCGCCTATGGCCAATTTTGGGTATTATCGTTTTTTGAGGTTTTGCGCACGCACTTTTAAGGCTTGACATGTTTGGTGTCTTTTTACCCGACGTGACCCCGTCTTTTATATTTTACCAAAAAATTGGGTAATAATAAATGTTTTATCATTTAATATAGGGGAAACTGTTTTTTTTTAAAAAAAAATTTCGGTGATTTTTCCTTTAATATAGTAAAAAAATAAAAAACCCAGTGGTGAATAAATACCACCAAAAGAAAGCTCTATCTGTCCCCAAAAAAGGGTATAAAATTCATTTCAGTACAGCGCTGCATGACGGAATAAATGTCAGTCAAAGTACTGCAGCGCTGAATACTGAAAAATGGCCTGGATGGGAAGGGGGTTTAACACCGCGGATGTCAACTGGTTAATACTTACCAATCAATGGCGAGAGTTTACCAAAGATGTTATTTAGTATACTGTATAATACTGTTAGTCATATGTCTACCTGTTATTTTGCAAAAAAAATTATTGACCCTTTGGTAGGTAGTGTGAACATTTAGGAAATAAGACCTGCAACTGCTTGCTTCCTTGCTAGAATAGAGGCTGTACATGCCTCTATGGAAGTACTGGATATTTGTGGAGGTTATGATAATAGGGGAGATCAGGAGCCTTCTGGTGCTTGCTACAGGCTTACTTTTCCCCTGAATGTGTTCTTTAAACTGTAGTTCCTACTTTTCTAACCCTTTTTCTTTCTTTTTTATTACAGTAAATGAGATCATAGGACGTGATATGTCACATGGAATCACAAGGCCACTTCAAGAATGTCAGGAGTCCAGTATACCAGATATGGACTAAAATTCACTGTGGGAAAGGAAATAAAAACAAAAGATGATGATGGCATTTTAATCTACTGTTCCCCGACGTGTGTCTCTGGTTTAGTGCTTCCAGTTTTGTTGCCTTTCTTATGTCTCTTTGGGGAATTTACCTTACACTCTGAGGGAAATGTGTTGGTAAAATACAATTTACTCAGAGTCAAGTTGTTAGATAAAAGGAGTCACAATCTCCTCCCTCTCCAAATACCAGTTCAGATACCAGTGCCGATACTTGGCATTTCCACGAGAGCTATCAGGGTTGCAGCTGGAACCTGGCTCTGGTGCTCCACCACTGTCCAGAGATCATTAGTCTGTATTGTTTTGGAAAAACTCACATGACAATAACCAAAAAAGTATCAGTTATTGGTATCTGTGAGGGCAAGTATCAGTACTTGGTCTGGAAAAATGGTATTGGTGCATCCCTAATATATACTATATATATATATATATATATATATATAACAAATCATACATTAAATCAGAGAT